ATGCGGCCTGTTGGTGAGAGGCATGCGGCCTGTTGGTGAGAGGCATGCGGCCTGTTGGTGAGAGGCATGCGGCCTGTTGGTGAGAGGCATGCGGCCTGTTGGTGAGAGGCATGCGGCCTGTTGGTGAGAGGCATGCGGCCTGTTGGTGAGAGGCATGCGGTCTGTTGGTGAGAGGCCTGCGGCCTGTTGGTGAGAGGCATGCGGTCTGTTGGTGAGAGGCATGCGGTCTGTTGGTGAGAGGCATGCGGCCTGTTGGTGAGAGGCATGCGGCCTGTTGGTGAGAGGCATGCGGCCTGTTGGTGAGAGGCATGCAGCCTGTTGGTGAGAGGCATGCGGCCTGTTGGTGAGAGGCATGCGGCCTGTTGGTGAGAGGCATGCGGCCTGTTGGTGAGAGGCATGCGGCCTGTTGGTGAGAGGCATGCGGCCTGTTGGTGAGAGGCATGCGGCCTGTTGGTGAGAGGCATGCGGCCTGTTGGTGAGAGGCATGCGGCCTGTTGGTGAGAGGCATGCGGTCTGTTGGTGAGAGGCCTGCGGCCTGTTGGTGAGAGGCATGCGGTCTGTTGGTGAGAGGCATGCGGTCTGTTGGTGAGAGGCATGCGGTCTGTTGGTGAGAGGCATGCGGCCTGTTGGTGAGAGGCATGCGGCCTGTTGGTGAGAGGCATGCGGCCTGTTGGTGAGAGGCATGCGGCCTGTTGGTGAGAGGCATGCGGCCTGTTGGTGAGAGGCATGCGGCCTGTTGGTGAGAGGCATGCGGCCTGTTGGTGAGAGGCATGCGGCCTGTTGGTGAGAGGCATGCGGCATGTTGGTGAGAGGCATGCGGTCTGTTGGTGAGAGGCATGCGGTCTGTTGGTGAGAGGCATGCGGCATGTTGGTGAGAGGCATGCGGTCTGTTGGTGAGAGGCATGCGGCATGTTGGTGAGAGGCATGCGGCATGTTGGTGAGAGGCATGCGGCATGTTGGTGAGAGGCATGCGGTCTGTTGGTGAGAGGCATGCGGCATGTTGGTGAGAGGCATGCGGCATGTTGGTGAGAGGCATGCGGCATGTTGGTGAGAGGCATGCGGCATGTTGGTGAGAGGCATGCGGCATGTTGGTGAGAGGCATGTGGTCTGTTGGTGAGAGGCATGTTGAGGAAAAACTGTGTTAGCTATCTGGTAAGGAAAGAACCGTACATGCCTTCGACGCTGTTTCAAGACAGGTTCCGCGATAAAAGGAGAATTGTCAAACGCTTGGAAGGAAGTGGGTGGGTGAGTGATTGTCACGGTGCCTTGGTGAAGCAGATGGGCAGAAACGGCAATCATTGGACCAAATGATTGAGACTCTCTGACTGCAAAGTGGAAGGCGCGTTCTGAGAAGTCTCCGATCATATCATACCTTGGTGAAGAAGATTGGGCAGAAGCGGCGGTTCTTGGATCGGAGGATGAGACTCTCTGACTGGTGCATGGAAGAAGCGGGGGACACGAAATGAAAGGGAGACAATTCTTCGCAGCGCCTAAGAATTCGTCTCACTACATGAAAGAGTGGTGCGTGGGAAAGTGGTGCGACGAGATTGAACCATCAAATGCAGTCAAAAAGGCAGGTTCACCCCTCCCATGCCTGAAAGGCCTCCCATACCTGGAAGGCAGGTTCATGAACTCCCATACCTGGAAGGCAGGTTCACGTTCACCCCTCCCATACCTGGAAGGCAGGTTCACGTTCACCCCTCCCATACCTGGAAGACAGGTTCACGTTCACCCCTCCCATACCTGGAAGGCAGGTTCACGTTCACCCCTCCCATACCTGGAAGGCAAGTTCACGTTCACCCCTCCCATACCTGGAAGGCAAGTTCACGTTCACCCCTCCCATACCTGGAAGGCAGGTTCACGTTCACCCCTCCCATACCTGGAAGGCAAGTTCACGTTCACCCCTCCCATACCTGGAAGGCAAGTTCACGTTCACCCCTCCCATACCTGGAAGGCAGGTTCACGTTCACCCCTCCCATACCTGGAAGGCAAGTTCACGTTCACCCCTCCCATACCTGGAAGGCAAGTTCACGTTCACCCCTCCCATACCTGGAAGGGAGGTTCACGTTCACCCCTCCCATACCTGGAAGGCAGGTTCACGTTCACCCCTCCCATACCTGGAAGACAGGTACCCCATCAAATGCCTTGCTGTTGTCACCTGCTTGCGACCTCAGCTGGTGGTGCTCATGGGATTGGAATTAGGATTGGGAATGGCATTGAAGTTGGGATAAGGACAAGGGAATACCAGGAATGCTGGCCGTGACATTTCAAGTACATGCAAGAGTCAACTTGTTGTGGGAATGGGGTTGATCGGATCGGGGCAATGCAGACGGGCAGCAGGGAGGGACGAAGAGGTGCAGAGAGACTCACGAGCACGGCGTGTTTGACTTGAAGGGGGTCGGGCAGGAAGCGGAAGGCGATCCCCTCAGCTGACAGCGCATACACCTGTGGGTAATGGTTCGGTCACGATGCCGTAATGGATTTCTTTAGTGGACTAAAAAATCGGGTCGGGCAGGAAGCGGAAGGCAATCCCCTCAGCTGACAATGCATACACCTGAGATTGGATCACCATGCGGTGATCAGAAAAAATAATGTGATTAAATGAGGGAGAGAGAGAAGGGAATTCCTTATTTTATCCTTATCACATTAGGGGGAAAGAGGGGACAAAAGGGGCGGGGGAACAGTGGATGTAGTGAGATGTCTAGTTCATATATATGTGAAGAAAACACCCCTGAATGTCCACATATCGAATGCACCCTACGGCAATAGCATCTCAATTGCTGTAACCATACTAATTATCCAATCTCCTTACCCAATCTTAATCTCCTAGCTCTACATAATCTCCTTACGTCCAATGCCTCACCTTATCCATGGCCACAGGCACCACACGAGCTCCCTTACCCAGCGAGGCGTCACGATCCTTCACCTGCCCACATTGTGACGTGGCACGGGTTAGCAGGGCGTGGCATGACATGGCATGACGTGACATGGATTAGCAGCATGGCCTGAGAGGGTAGCTGCGACCATGGGTAATGATGTGCATGTGTGGCCATGGCCATGGCCATGGGCAAGGTTAGTAACTTGTGTTCGGAGTTGTGAAATTAGTCAATGTTGTAGCTGACACAGGTATATCGAAATCACTTTTGAGAATTCTCAAATGTGAAATTAGTCAATGTTGTAGCTGACACAGGTGGTTACCCGTTATCCCCCCTCCAGAAACCCTCTTCCCCTTTCCCCCCTCCCCTCCCCTCCCCTCCCCTCAACCCCCCTTCCCAGGACGATGCATCAGAGCCATTCGAAAGACATCCCACCTGCGCCGGCCCACCTGCGCCATCCCACCTGCGCCGACCCACCTGCGCCGGCCCACCTGCGCCATCCCACCTGCGCCGACCCACCTGCGCCAGGAGCGTTTCCGCGTCCTCCTTGCGGAAGCAGAACAGCCCGATCGACTTGCTGCCCTCCGCGTCCGTTATAAGAACGAACTCGTTCGCCGCGTTGCTCACGGTGTACACCGCCAGGCCTTCCAGTCGCTTTGCCACCTGCGGTGCGGACATGGCGACGTCAAACAGATGCCTCGCTCCCCCGTCGTACGCGTTAGTGCCAACTGCGGTAGCAGACGCAGCGTCGAAACCGCGTAGCGACGACGTAATGGACGCGAAGCACGGAGCACGGAAACCCTGCTGCTGGCTCCTAAACTCCTCCGCATTCAACGGGAAGGATTTAACTCTCTCGATTCCCGCCATTGCGTGACGAATCGCTCCCTGCTTGTGCTTCTCGATCTCCCCGGCGCAGAATTCCCGGAACCTATCAGCTTCGAGCCGTCTGTCGCGGGCCCATGCTGCCAGAGGCGCTGCGAGAGATAAGGCGCTTTGAAAGTTGCTCTGCACAGCGCTCTGGACATTTTGAGCGAAAGCGGGGAGTCGCCGCTGCTGTGTTACCCCGTCCATCGAGCGAGTCTCCATTCGCACTGTGTTCGCGAAGAGATTGATCGAGGAAGATGTGTGATGACGATGAATTATGCAGGACCACGCGTGGGTCAGCGCGAAACACGGCGGTAGATTCGTGTCTGACCAGCTGGAGAGAAGGATCAGGGGGGGGAGACAAACAACAAATCAGGAGAATGTGCGATACTGAGCTCTCCAATATGTGTCATACAGATTGTGAAACTTCTGTATTCAGTTCTGAAATATCTCTTTGTTTCCTAACGTACTGCAGTGCTCTACACACACTACCCCCTCAGCTGATCGTCAGGTGATGTGAGGGCGTCACCTCATGAAAATAACCCATTTCTGGTTCGGCACGGTTTGTTATATATTTAGCGTGCTATGGTGCGATACAATAGTATCAGTGATGTGTAGATCTCCTTTAGGGTAACCGGAAAGCACAGACTCGTGTAGCCTATTCGCTCGCGTGTGCTCTTTCATCGTCAGGCAGCTGCGTAGTCGGAAAGTGCAGATGGGTTTCGCCAACGTCCCCGCGCACTCATCAACCGAACAGTTTCCCCTCCACCCCGCCTGTCTCCCTCCACCCCGCCAGTCTCTCCCGCTTCACCGACCATCCTTGCTCTTTTTCCCCCTTTCCCCCTTTTCCCCCTTTTCCACACTCACCTCTCCTCCCTGGCTCCCTGCACAGCTTTCCCATTCCGCCAATCTCTTGTTTCCCCCTGTTGCCTGCACAGTTTTTCGCGCCTTCCCTCGCCTCGAACTTTTCCCCGATCACTTCCTCCGAACCTGTTCACGCGCTCTCCCCCGTGTTCCCCACCGCGACTCCCTCCCTCCGCTTTCCTCCCCCGCTACCCTCCCCGTGCTTTTCACAGCTGGTTTCCATCCAATCAAAATACTCGTTCCTTCCACAGTCCCTTCGTGTCGCTTTCTGTCTGCTGCCTCGGAACCATTCCAGAAGAGTTGAGCTTCTCCATTCTTCAGCATTTTCTTGTCCGCCAAATCTAGGTCTTTAGCTCCTATTTTCTGAGTACTTCACGACGTTGAAAGTCCTCGGCTATGTCGGGATTCACCACGAAGGGCCGGCCGATAGTCCCATCGTTCGGCCTATGGCGAACCGGCGGCAGCGAGGGTCCGACAGACGCATCGTCAATCTCTCAGGTGTTTCGGGAGGCGGGTAAGAAAGCACTGCAGGCGAAGCAGCAGCAGCAACTGGCGTTAGAACCGTACGAGGATAGCGAGAAGACCGCTATTAATGGACCTTTCTCCTCTTCTTCCTCCTCATCGTCCTCTGCTGCTACCCACCCTTCCTCTGATTCCCATTCCTCTTCCGCGTCCCACCCCCCAGTACCATCCCACCCTTCCACTGCGCCGTACCCTGCCATAGACCCATACCCTTCCGCAGCAGCCAACTCGTTCGTCCTGTCAATACCGCTTCAAGCAGGACCTAAAAACGCCACACACTCGCCAACTTCTGAGTCGACTCAAAAATCGCTGCAAGCAGGACCCAAGAATGGCACCCATTCTCCAACCTCTCAAGTCCACCCCACCGCACCCGAATCAAGTCCAATCCTTTCGCCTCGCCATGCTCTCGCGTCGTCTCCCACGCGCCTCGATCCCTCTAAAAACCCGACCTTGGAGCCGCACCCAGCCACGGCTCGCTCTCCGCACTCGTCGCCGCACCCTCCGGCGTTTTCAATCAAAGCGACCGTCGCGTCGCTCGTGGGAAGCGTCAACCTGCTCAGCCTGAGCGACAGCTACGCTGCCGGCGACGCGTCGACAATATCCGCCGTGTTTCGCGACAAGAAGAAAAAAATCCTGCAGGAGAAGCAGCAGCAGAAAGGGCTGTTACTCCTCTCTCCCACACGCGAAGACCCGTCCCCTCCCTCAGGTGCTCCTCCAGGTGCTTATTCAGGTGCCATTCCTAGTAAAACCGAGCCTTCACCTGCGAGGGCTGTACCGGCTGCGGAGTCCCTTTCTCTGCTCAGCCTGAGCGACAGTTACGCCGCAGGCGACGCGTCGACGATATCCGCCGTGTTTCGCGACAAGAAGAAGAAGATCCTGCAGGAGAAGCAGCAAAAGGGTTTCGCTCTCTCCCCCACTCGAGAGCCGGCTGCCGTTGATGCTGCTCAATCTTCTCATGCTGAGACGGTTCAACGGTCATCTGTTGAGGCTGCTCAACGGTCCCCCCCGCGAAACTCATGGTCGGGAAACTTGAACGCCGTGCACCCGGAAACTCCAGCGGTAGTTCCCACGTGGCATCCTCATCAGCTTCAAGGCGATCCGTCTGACGTGGACTCAGACGCGTCGACGATTTCTCTAGTTTTCCGGAATATGCGACACAAAGCGCGGCAAGAGCGGCAGGAGCGGGAATCAAAGGAGGCTGGAGTTGACGTGAGAGAACAAGCGAGCACAGGAGCACAAGAGCTAGCAGCAGTAGAATCAAGAGCAACAGGCGTAGCAGCAACGGCGTTAGCAGAAGCAGAAGCAGCAGGTCTAGCCGCAGAGGGCGAAGCGTATCCCGCCTCCCCAATACACGCTCTCGCGAGCCCCAACCGTCCCGAATCCAACCAACCAGCCGTCGATCTCTGGCCGTCTAGCTCGCCGGCCGCAGCAGCAGGGCCGGCGGGGGAGAACGTGTCGCTAGTGTTCTGGTCGCGGCAGCAGGAAGGGCAATCTGGGGAAGCCGCCAAGACGGCGAAGTTTGGAGAGAGAATCCGGAAGAGTGCAGGCGACGGTGAGGGGAATGCTTTGGGAAGTACTGCGGAAGGAGCTGGGATAGTGAGGGGAGCAGGAGGAGGAGGAGAAGGCGAGCTTGAGGCGTCGTTTAGAGCGTCGCACCCGCCTCAATCCGCGGCGCATGGGACGGCGCAGGAAGGAGCGCAGGCGACGGGGGTAGAGGCGGCGCAGGCGGCGCAGGGGGCGGAGGCGGCGGAGGGGGAGGGGGAAGGGGCGGAGGGGGCACAGGCGGAGGAAATCGACGAGGACGTATTGCACGCGTGCGTGGATCCCGCGTACGCGGACCCGCGGCGCCAGTTCATGTCCAACCCCACGTGCTCGCTGGACGAGGCGTTTGACGCCATCCTGCAGAACATGGATAGCGGCCCGCTGGGCTCTGACGCGAGGGCCACGGCCCAGGTGAGATTAAGACTTAGAGAGCTGATGACCTGGAAATTTAGAGAAGCAAACCTCATGTGCTTGCTGGGCGAGGCCTTTGACGCCATTCTGCAGAGCACGCCGGACAGCGGCCCGCTGGGGGCTGAAAGGAGAGCTGCAGCCCAGATGCAATACGGATCAATTATCAGTAATGCCTTTAAACGATAGAAAAGCGAATCCCACGTGTTCTCTCTGTGCAATCACCTCATGCTCTTGACATCCCCGTTTGCCACGCTGCTTCCATCAGGCTAGCCTGCAGTCACCGTTCGAGGAGCTATTGGAAGGGAGTGAGTCTCCCAGCCCAGAGCATAACCACGGCCACCAACACCAACACCACCAGCAGCAGCAGCCACAGCCGCTGTCCCCGCAGCACGCTCGGCCGAAGTCGGAGCAGCGCAGCAGGGCTCGGCGAAGCATGGATGACAACGAGGCAAGGACGAGCGGGCGGCAGCTTCAGCTGCCCCTCCCGCTCCCCCACCGCGCCCAGCAGCAGCAGCAGCAGCAGCAGCAGCAGGAGCAGCAGCAGGAGGGGGGTCAGGTGGGGCTGCGCGGGCTGAAAGCGCGCAGCAGGGCGTTTGTCAACAAGGTGATTACAAAGCTGAATGGGCGCGCAGGCATGGGCAGCAGTCCAGTGTCTGTGAGCATTTTAAACAACCAGCTGGGCCCCGTCAGGAGTGCGGAGGTGGGCATGGTGGGCTCGCCTCGCAACGCTGCGTCAGTGCTTCCTTCGTCCCGAAGCGTGCAGGGCGAGGCGGAACGCTGGCAGCCGCGTGAAAGAAGTTGATTTTTGAAACGTCTTAGGAACCAGGAGTGCGGAGGTGGGGATGGTGGGCTCGCCTCGCAACGCTGCGTCGGTGCTCCCTTCGATTAGAAGCGTGCAGAGCGAGGCGGAACTCTGGCAGCCACAGCAGTAGCATAGGCAGCAGCAGCAGCAGCAGTGACAGCAGCATTGGCAGCAACAGCGGGGACAGCAGGAGTGACAGGAGCATCAGCAGCAGTCACCACTGGTGCCTGTTTAGCTGCCAGGCATGAAAGGTGCAGCATTAATCTTGTTGCGACCATCATCTTCATCGCTGTCACTATCCTCATCCCCACAGCATCCGCAGCAGTGGAAGCAGCAGCATAAGCAGCAGCGGTAGCAGCAGCAAGAGCAGCAGCAGTAGCAGCAGCAGCAGCAGTAGCAGCAGCAGCAGCAGCAGTAGCAGAAGCAGCAACAAGAGCAGTAAGAGCAGCAGGGGTAGCAGCAGCAGCAAGAGCAGCAGGAAAAGCAGCAGCAGCAGTTGTCACTTTTCAGGCTGTCTAAGCCATTCATCAGTTGTCAGCAGCTTCAAGCGTTGCCAGAAAAGAGCTAGTTGCAGTGCACTTCGCTATCGATAGGATTATATATATGATGGTGCCATGCATGGCATACACTATAACAGTTGCCAATGGTGCATGAACAATTAGGTTTTGCGAAATGTAGCAGTCGTGTAGCTGGTATGCTTCTTGGAAGTGCCTATGCCCTGGTAAGTTAGGTTTTACTAAATTTTGGCGTTTCAGTATGATGATGCGATCCTAATACCGTACGAGAGCGTTAATGGAAGTAGCAGGACCTACCCGGTACTAATTAGCATGGACTAAAAAGTCCCTCACCCACCCCGCTACCCCCCTCCGCCAAATCACGCACTCAAATGCTGGCTGTATTGTGTTTCACTGGTAGTGCTCCTCCCCCCAAGTCTTCCAGTACCACAGCTGCGCTTCCTTCCACCACCATTACAGCCCCCCTGCATCTTCCTCTACCCCACCTGCCTCTTCGGCCTCCCCGCCTGCCCCATCCTCTTCCACCACCCCTGCAGGAGCTCCCCTGTTAGGCGCTGCCCGGTTGAATCCCTCCAGCATCGCTCTCAGCCTGCTCGCTTCCTCCCCAAGCCTCTCAAACAGCCCCTCCTCCCCCGCTCTCCACCCCCACTGGCCCGCCTGGTCAAAGAAAGGGCAGATGCGCAGGGGGGTGGAGGAGGAGGGAGGAGGACTTGAGAGAGAACGAGGACCGGCAAACGAGGCTGCTGCTTGCCCGCACTCTACAATCGTGCACCTCAGCAGCCGCGGCCTCCTTTGTCCACAGTGATGCTGCAACGTTTTCGAGGCGCCTTAGTAGATCCATCACTTGCAGATTTGATGCTGTAGTCTGTCTGTCACGTGACGGCACGAGAGGGTTCCGGGTGCCCCTAAAAACGCTACTGGTCGGCCCTAATCACTATCCGTTGGCCCCAAACACTCTCACAGAGTGGTCCTGTCAGTTGGCGCTAGGGGGGGAAGGCGGGGCGAAGAGAGCGGACTGGCGGCGCTGCAGGAAGCGCCAGAAGGGGGTCCAGTTGCCTGGCAGCGGTGCTGCGCGGTTGAATGCGACGAGCAGCATTCTCAGCCGCGCTGCCTCGCCATCAAGCGAGTCGAATAGGTCCGACTCGCCCGCCCTCCACCCCCACTGGCCCGCCTGCGGAAGAGGGAGCAGAGCGGAGATTCACAGACACAAGTAATCGGAAAATGCAGCAATATGTAGCCCACCTGCAGAGGGTGCAAGGAGGGGTTAGGGGGATGCAGCCTACCAGCACACATGCATGGGCTAGCTCCCTGCTCATCCTTCTTGTGTCGAGACGTCTCAAACCTCCCTGCTCATCCTTCATGCGAGAAGGAAGTTGTCGAGCCCCATCACGTCCTGCAGCTCAATCACGGTGGTTCATGTGTGCGCTACAGGTGACACCTGAGCCCCATGCCTGATCCATAAAACCTGAGCCCCAACCGCAACCCCAACCCCAAGCCCAACCTGCACGGCCGGCACGTTCATGCGCGCGTTGTTGTCCAGTCCCATCACGTCCTGCAGTGCAGATCTTTAGTAGCACCTGAAACCCCACACTTCACCAACCTGCACCTCCAAGGCACACTACCTACCTGCACGGCTGGCACATTCATGCGCGCGTTGTTGTCGAGTCCCATCACGTCCTGCAGTGCAGATCTTTAGTAGCACCTGAAACCCCACACTTCACCAACCTGCACCTCCAAGGCACACTACCTACCTGCACGGCTGGCACATTCATGCGCGCGTTGTTGTCGAGTCCCATCACGTCCTGCAGTGCAGATCTTTAGTAGCACCTGAAACCCCACACTTCACCAACCTGCACCTCCAAGGCACACTACCTACCTGCACGGCTGGCACATTCATGCGCGCGTTGTTGTCCAGTCCCATCACGTCCTGCAGTGCAATCACGGTGGTGCGCGCTACAGACGACACCGCCGCCCGGATGATCGCCCACTGGATCTCGTCCTCGTCCTGGGGCGACAGGCCCAGCAGCACGCGCACCTGGTATGGGGGGTTGTGTGGACGGGGAAAGAGGGTAGATTGTGGGTGGTTGATGGAAGAGGGAAGGGATTGACCCACAATGCACCTTATATAGCCTGCCTTGAGAAATCTCAAGAATATCATGCCCGGCAAACAGGCTATGGGAAAGTCATCATGATGTCCACCAGCATGCAAAGAATGTTGGTGGACAGCATGTGTGGCATGGTTGAGATGGTGGTGGCATGTAGGGAACTTATGGCATGTGTGTGGAGTTGTTGCTACGATTGATGACATGACACGACGGCATGACTCACGTTGTTTTTCTCCCACTCGGGAATTCGCTCCCACCAACCAACGACCTGCACATGCAAACAGAAAGATACACACACAACACAGGCAGGACGGTCACATGTGCACGCAAAGGCATATTTGACATAAAGCTTTGAAACGTCTCCAAAAAGAACACAGGACATGCACACGCAGCCCCAGTCACCAGCAGCATGCATTCTGCTGTTGGTGATCATGCAGTTCCCACACACAAAGAGCAAGTATGTGCACCAGCCCCGGCCTCATACGCACCGTGTCATTGTCATGAGTGCCAGGATACACCACTTGGTTCTGCTCGCTGGGTGGTATTCGTTTGCACCAAGTTGCTGCTAAGTATACAGTCTCAACGCTACTCACAGACAGCATCCCTGCCCACGCACCGTGTCGTTGTCGTGAGTGCCAGGATACACCACTTGGTTCTGCTCGTGGTTGTGCGGCAGGTGAGGGTTCTTGGCGTCACTGCCAAACGCTGCGACAAGAATGGGAGAGGAAAAAGGTGGGATGGGGTGGAGTGGGGTGGAGGCACGTAAATGTCATTATCGAGGTGCTTCTAGAAGAGAATGTGGGTTATTGGCACTGGTGCCGAAGAATCCTGCAAGGAGAAGGGTGGGTCGGAGGGACAACTAGAAGTGAAGTAGTCTTTTCGCCAGGGGGTGCATTGAGCGACAACCGTGACGAGTAGCTTAAGTGGGTGACTGTAGCATTGACTCACCAAACTGTGGCACTGCCATGCAAGAGTGCCTACCTCTGGTTTCTTTTAGGCATCATAAACGCTTTTGAGGGGCATCGAGGTGGTTTTTTAGCCCCTCAAAAACCACCTCAGTGCCTACCTCTGGTTTCTTATAAGAAAAGCTGGCATCATAAACGCTTTTGAGGGGCATTGAAAACTGCCACGGACTCACCGAACTGTAGCACCGCCATGCCAGGAGCGCCGATTTCACGGCGCAGATCAACCACGTCCACCGTAATCACACCCTGTTGCAGTCACATGTTGCAACGGGCGGGGTAGTGGAAACAAAACTTGTTACAGAATTAGAGTGCAAAAACGTGTTACTTGTTACTTCTACGCCAGGTAAATTCTCATTCTCCTACACTACAGTCTCGTTCTTTCATGGTCTCATTTCCTCCCCTCGTCCCCTCGTCCCTCCCCCCTCACAGCTCTCCCCACCTCCCACCCTCCTCTCATTGCTCCACATCCCTCCTGCCTCTCTCAGTCAGTGCTCACCAAAATCCTCTGCCACGATGTCAACAGGCTTGTCCACTGCCTTCCAAAAAACCCCGAAGAGCGCCGTGCAAGGGCCTCTACCCTCTACCCCTGAGCAGCTCTTCCCACATCCCTCCTCCCTCCCAGTTCTCACCAAATCCTCTGCCACGATGTCAATGGGCTTGTCCACGGCCTTCTGGATCGCCTCAAAGAACTCCTTGCGCGGCCCCATCTGGTGGGCGTGGTATGGCATCGCATGGAAGAGCAGGATTGAGCAAAACCCGAACACGGACGTGTTTGGGTCAAACGTGTATCAAACACGTTCAGTGGGTGACCTCAGCAAGCTCCTTGCGGGCGGCCCCATCTGGTGGGCGTGGCATGGAAGAGCATGGCATGCAGTGGGTTGGGAAGATCCTACCTGGAAGGCGCTCGACATTGGTTTGTGCAACGATTTTTTTGTGAAACGAAGAGGAAGGGAGGGACTGCATACAGTCTGAGTGCATGCCAGGCGAAACAGAGAGGACAAGGGCTTGCCGCCCCATGTAGGCACTTACATGTAAAAAGAAGAACACACACACACATGAAAGAAAGAAATTATGAAAAGGTAAGGAAAGAAAAGAAAAGAAAAGAAAAGAAAAGAAAAGAAAATGAACCATTTGAAGCTTCTCACCATCCAGCGGCCGTTCATGGCGGTCTCAGAGTCGGCAGGGATGCTCCAGTAGCCCGCAAGGCCCCGGAAGTGGTCAATGCGGAACTCATCGTACAGGTCAAACGCCCTGCGCATGCGCTTCGCCCACCACGAGTAGCCATCCTTGGCCATGGCCGGCCAGTTGTACAGCGGGCTGCGAGGAGGGATAGGAGGAGGGGAGAAAGTGAGAGAGTGAAGGAATAGAAATATGCTACTTGTGCCTCATCCCATCCACAGATCCACCAAGAACACCCATGCTTGGCCATGGTTGTTCCCGGTGAATATTATTGCCAGGGTAGTGCGGTGACTTCTGAGTCGACCCAAAAGTCACCTTGGTCAAGGATGGCTGTTCCCGGTGAATACTATTGCCAGAGTAGTTGAAGGTGTCTCGAAATACAGTCTCACCAGGAACGGCTGTCGTGTTTTCGTGGCAGCAAAATTGCACAGGAGGCTGCGAGTAAGGAAAGAACTTCCCTCCCACCAGCCCCGCATCTGCCCTATGGCACACTAAAGGCACGGAAGGGCAGCTACGCCAGAGGCACCCACCCTGCATCCCACCCCGCAACCCCCCCTACTTCCCACACACCCCTCCTCCCTCTCCCCCTCCACCCCTAACCTGCCCCACAACCGTCCCTCACCTGCCCCACAACCGCCCCGTGGCGCTGAAGGCATCGGGCGGCACGCCACTCACGAGTGACTTTTGAGTTGACTCAAAAGTCGTCCCCCCCGCACCACACCCAACCCCCCCACCCTCCTCACCTGCCCCACAGCTGCCCCGTGGCGCTGAAGGCATCGGGCGGCACGCCACTCACGAATGTGGGCTCACGGGTCTCGGGGTCCTGGTGGCGAGAGAAGGCGTGGTGGCGAGAGAAGGCGTGGTGGCGAGAGAAGGCGCGGTGGCGAGAGAAGGCGTGGTGGCGAGAGAAGGCGTGGTGGCGAGAGAAGGCGTGGTGGCGAGAGAAGGCGTGGTGGCGAGAGAAGGCGTGGTGGCGAGAGAAGGCGTGGTGGCGAGAGAAGGCGTGGTGGCGAGAGAAGGCGTGGTGGCGAGAGAAGGCGTGATGGCGAGAGAAGGCGTGGTGGCGAGAGAAGGCGTGGTGGCGAGAGAAGGCGTGGTGGCGAGAGAAGGCGTGGTGGCGAGAGAAGGCGTGGTGGCGAGAGAAGGCGTGGTGGCGAGAGAAGGCGTGGTGGCGAGAGAAGGCGTGGTGGCGAGAGAAGGCGCGGTGGCGAGAGAAGGCGCGGTGGCGAGAGAAGGCGCGGTGGCGAGAGAAGGCGCGGTGGCGAGAGAAGGCGCGGTGGCGAGAGAAGGCGCGGTGGCGAGAGAAGGCGCGGTGGCGAGAGAAGGCGCGGTGGCGAGAGAAGGCGTGGTGGCGAGAGAAGGCGTGGTGGCGAGAGAAGGCGTGGTGGCGAGAGAAGGCGTGGTGGCGAGAGAAGGCGTGGTGGCGAGAGAAGGCGTGGTGGCGAGAGAAGGCGTGGTGGCGAGAGAAGGCGTGGTGGCGAGAGAAGGCGTGGTGGCGAGAGAAGGCGTGGTGGCGAGAGAAGGCGTGGTGGCGAGAGAAGGCGTGGTGGCGAGAGAAGGCGTGGTGGCGAGAGAAGGCGTGGTGGCGAGAGAAGGCGTGGTGGCGAGAGAAGGCGTGGTGGCGAGAGAAGGCGTGGTGGCGAGAGAAGGCGTGGTGGGGAGAGAAGGCGTGGTGGGGAGAGAAGGCGTGGTGGGGAGAGAAGGCGTGGTGGGGAGAGAAGGCGTGGTGGGGAGAGAAGGCGTGGTGGGGAGAGAAGGGTGATCAATGAGGCAAGGGGAAGGGAGGAAGAATGCTGGATGGTGAGGAAGGGAGGTCAGGATGGGGTAGAGTGGGTGAGGTGACGTTCTCTCCGCATAAAAGAGCATCACAAGCACATGCAAACCGCCTGCCAGCACTGACGGCATAAACACCATACCAGCACACACAGCACACCCTACCAGCATGAATTGCTCCGGGTTCGCCCACGCGTCAGCGCTGTGGCCGCCCACGTAGATAGGCATATCGCCCATAATGCTCCTGCCCTGCCCTTGAGCTGCTAGCAGGGGTCATACATCGGGGCCTCTACCACATGCGTGCAACAAATAACTTTTCAATGTAGAAACCGCGTGTAATGAGTCTGCTTTTGAGTCGACTCAAAAGCAGAAACCGCGTGTAATGAGTCTGCTTTTGAGTCGACTCGAAAGCAGCAGGGGTCATACATCGGGGCCTCTACCACAAGCGCGCACGAGCAACATGTGTATCAATCAACATTAACGGCCTACCAGCATGAATTGCTCTGGGTTCGCCCACACGTCAGCGCTGTGCCCCCCCACGTAGATGGGCATGTCCCCCATGATGCTGATGCCCTTGCTGTTGGCATACCGGTGCAGCGCCTGCCACTGCCTCTGGAATAGAAACTGCTGCGCCGCAAACTCGTCAATCTGTCATGCACACACACAGTGGGAGGGAGGGTTGTAGAGTCGATTTTACGAAGGGGACAGTGCAGCGCAGCGCCTACAACAGCCTCTGGAACAGAGGCCACAGCCACTGATAGAAATTGTGTTTTGAGACTGTAGTTGTTCTCAAAATACAACTTCTATCACGTAGCGCCTACAACAACTACAGCCTCTGGAACAGAGGCCACAGCCACCGGAACTCCACCCCTTCCCTGCAAGTCGACTCACAACATGCCTATCTATTCTGCTCCACAGCACCACTCACGGTTTCCCTGTGTCTCCCCCTCGCAGCAGCCAAGGCCTGTGGCGCTCTGTCCTTGAGCTGCTTGGGCCACAGCCACCAGAACTCCTGAAGCACCTCGAAAGTAGAACTTCCCACCACTCACGTATTCTCTGTGTCTCTCCCTTGCAGCCGCCAAGGCCTGCGGCTCTCTGTCCTTGAGTTCCTTGGGCCACAGCCACCAGAACTCTACGCCCTGCTCTTTGAATCTACTCACGAACCTACCTAATCCTCTAAGCCGCACATTCTTCCCTGGCAGGACTCACGTATTCCTGGTGTCTCTCCCTTGCAGCAGCCAAGGCGTTGGGCTCTCTGTCTTTGAGCTCCTTGGGCCACAGCCACCAGAACTCCACGCCCTGCTCTTCGTCGATAGCACTGAACAGAGCTGCTTCCTCCAACCATGCTGCCATGGGAGAAGGGAAAAAGGGAGGATGCAACAGGAGAGGAGCACAGACTGTGCAAGAGGACATTTGAGTTGAGCCAAAGCTCTATCTTTGGATCTTCCCACCTATGGCGCGGCCTTTCTAGCTGAGGGTATTCAGAAAATATTAGAGGACCAATGAGAAGGAACGGTGCACATGGAACGGTGGGAGGGAGTGGAGAGGTAGAGGGCCGGACCAGAAGGGGACCCAACTGATGGACAGCTTGAGAGGGGCGAACTATGGAGGGGCGAAAATGAATGGAGAGCTTGATAGGGACGAGAGAGCTCGATAGGGACGAACCGGAGATGGTGGGGGATTGCCTGAAGGCGTCAAACTCCGCCTTGAGCTCTCCCTTGCTCCTCACCAGTGCCTTGGCTGCCTGTGCTCAGCAGAGATGGGGGTTTGTGGGATTGGAGTGAGTGAGGTGGGCGGACCATGGAGATGGTGGGTTATGTATTTTCAAATCACTCAATCTTTGCACTCAATAAGTGAGACGTCTCAAATCTTTTATCACTTGTGCCCTGGCCGTATGACGCAGCAAATGGAGGCATATGGCAGTGGTTTGAGGTGTGGTGAATCATCGTGGCAGCTATCTCAGCAGTGGGTTTGGACAGAGGTGAGATAGCTGCCACGATGATCCAGGTGATTGGCAAGAAACAGGGGAAAAAAAAGATCGAATAGCGCCAGGTAGACCACTAGGGAGAGTGATGACGCACCTTGGCAACAGCAGGGTCCTTGTCCCTGATCACTTGCTTATAGTCCACTCTCTCTACCGGGCTGTTGGGGAGGGATACGGGGTGGGAACCGGGGGAAATGGGAGTTGGGGGGAAGAGATGGAGAAGAAAACAAGATGGAATTCGGTAGGAAGGGAGGGAGCATAGGGCGTCGTAGGGAGGGAACATACCACGTGGGAGGGAGGGAGCATAGGGCGTCGTAGGGAGGGAACATACCACGTGGAAGGGAGGGAGCATAGGGCGTGGAAGGGAGGGAGCATACCACGTGGGAGGGAGGGAGCATAGGGCGTGGAAAGGAGGGAGCATACCACGTGGGAGGGAGGGAGCATAGGGCGTGGAAGGGAGGGAGCATACCACGTGGGAGGGAGGGAGCATAGGGCGTGGAAGGGAGGGAGCATACCACGTGGGAGGGAGGGAGCATAGGGCGTGGAAGGGAGGGAGCATACCACGTGGGAGGGAGGGAGCATACCACGTGGGAGGAAGTGGTCATATCGCGGACTAAATTCACTGCTCTTTGTGCGTACCGATTCAGAGCATAGCGCGTAGGAGGGAGGGGGCATACCGCGTGGGAGGGAGGTCCTCAGGCTTGAGGAGACCATCTTGCACGAGCAGGTCGAGGGAGAGCAGCAGCGTGTTGCCGCAGTTGGCGTCCTGGCGGACGGGAGAGGAGCGTGGGGAGGGAGTGGGGGTTGGGGAGTGGGAGGAAGGGAGGATACGGAGTGGGAGACAGGTCGGAGGGGTCGAGACGCTGACCTCCACGGGCAGGTCAGAGGGAGAGCAGCAGAGAATTGCCGCAGTTGGCGTCCTGGTGGTCTGGGGCGTGAGGAATGGGGAGAGAGGAGTTGAGAAGAGAGAGGAAAAGCTGGAAAAGCGAAGGCGAGAGAGGCGGGAAGTGCAGAGACGATGGGGAAAGGTGAGCAGGCCCAGGCCTGATCGGCCCACATCTACTTCCAGGCCTGACCTTGACAGTTCTGATGGAGGGACGATGGGGAAAGGTGCCCAGGCCCAGGCCTGATCGGCCCACATCTACTTCCAGGCCTGACCTTGACAGTTCTGTACCTGACCAGAATTGGAAGTGCCGTACCTGGCCAGCACAGGCACAGCCGTACCTGGCCAGCATAGGGGCTGCTGTACCTGACCAGCATAGGGACTGCCATACCTGGGCAGCATAGGGACTGCCGTACCTGGCCAGCATAGGGACTGCCGTCTTCGCCTGACTTCCTTCCAGGTGGCACCAGCGGCAGCACCTGAAAAGACATTGAAAAAAAGCGCACAGAAGTGGTAAGAAAACGCACAGGAACAAATGGATTGCACAGGACTGTTGAATAAATGCCCCGGGAATGAACAGAAGTATTAAGCAATGATCAGAATCAGAACTTGGAGGCTCTGAAATATCGTCGGATGCTCATGGATCCACGCTCCCACCCACCACCCACCCATCCACGCAACCATCCACACTTCCACGCACACACCCACGCGTCCAATCCCCCCAACCGATCACGCACCCACCCACTCAACCTCCCGCGCACCTGCCAGATCGTGCATGTCGTGGACTCGAGCCAGCTGATGAAATCCGAAGCAGCGGTCAACAGAATTCACACGCTCTGATGCGTCTCGAAACGTTCATGGATCTACCCACCCACCCATCACCCCACGGATCGGTCCACCCACCCACTTACTCACCCATCCATCCATCCGCTCACCCACCCTCCGCACGCACCTGCCAAATCGTGCATCCCGTGGACTCGAGCCAGTCGAGGAAGTGTGAAGGGATGGTCAGAATTCGAAACGTCCGTATGCCGAGCCACCCACGCACCCATCCATCCACCCATTTACAGATCCATGCACTCAACCACGCATGCACCCCCCCCCCCCCCCCCCCGCACCTGCCAAATTGTGCATCCCGTCGATTCGAGCCAGTCCAGGAACCTGAACGCGCCGGGACCGAGGTCGCCCGTGCCGTGCGGGCCGGGCAGCGACGTGGGATGCACCAGCACGCCGCACCGTCGCGCCGGGATCAGCGAATACGGATCCATCCTTTCGTAACCCTCTTGTAACGGCTCGCCAGGGAGGATTTCGCTGGTCTTCGCAGCGGCGGGGGTCGATGCTGGTTCTGTCGCCATCGCGCGGACAGACTGCCGATCCGCGCGGAAAGATCGAGACGGCGAGCGGGAAATGGGGAAAGGGACGCGGAGAGGCGCGAAGGACGCTGATCTGAGGCGGGAATTTGACGAATCAACGGCTGAAGACGCGACCGATGCGACGGATGCGACGTGCGCGACGGGAAGTCGCAAAGCGGAAAGCATGGCTGTGCGGATCGCTGACTCGCGCAGAAGCACGCAGGAGCGAGATCTGATCAGGCGTCGTTTCCGAAACCAAGGTGGAGAGGAGTGCCCAACCAGATGGAATGATCGCTGGCTCGATTTCGAGGGTGCAGTACGTGACTGGCCTGTCGACAATACCAAGGCAATTCAGACCACCAGATTCTCGAGTTTCAACTTTCAAGGGACTTCGAGGGCAGGAACTGTAGATCCCAGGGCCGCCAAGATTCCAACATAGGAGACCAACTAGGCAGCGTCCTTGCAACCGCGATGTAAGCAGATCTGATGGCGGTAATACGTGTTGAGTTTACCTGGAACAATAAGAGAAGCACTAAGAACAAAAACTTGATATGGATTTGAGACTCTAAATGACTAGCCAAACTGTAAACATTTGCTTCCACCTACATTGAACATCAGTACCTAGGCTTATCATCTTCTCCCCACCCATTCCAATCTCTCCCCCTCTCCCTCTTTGTCACACCCGCGCCGTTACCACCCCCATCCTCACTCCATCGCTTTCCAGGTGCTTCCTCATTACCACTCCAACCCGCCTCCCACCTCGTCTCCCTCTCTGTACCATCACCCCTTCGCACCCCCCTCTCCCACTCTTGCTTCTCCTCCACCCTCCCGTACTGACCCTCTTCCCCCACCACAGCCTCACCCCTAGCCCACTGCCTGACATCGCTCTGCTGCCATCTCCCCTCATCCTGCCAGTCCCCATCGCCTGATCCTTGCCAGCTCCCACTCCTTCTGTAACCTCTGCCCTCTGGTTCAGATCCTCCCTGCCTTTCCCATTCCTGCCATTGCTGCTGCTGCTGCTGCTGCTGCTGCTGCTGCTGCTGCTGCTGCTGCTGCTGCTGCTGCTGCTGCTGCTGCTGCAATGGCCACTGCTCTCTGTCTCTCCAGTTCTCCTCCGTGCTACTGAATCCCCTACCCCCACCACCACCTTCCCTGCTCTCCTTCCCCACTCTCTCGGGACTGCCAGGGTCAATCTCCCCTCGGATCACGTCCAGCTGGTACCGAACCCACTCCCATGCCTCCGATGCAGCCCCCGAACCAAGCATTGGGCCACTCCCAATGCCCAAACCTGGGCCCAGCGTGTCATCCCAAACCTGTGGTTCCTTTCTCCTTTGAGAATCGCTGCTCTGTAACTGAGGCCACTGCCCCTGCTGCTGCTGCTGCTGCTGCTGCTGTTCCTGAGTCTGCCGCCGTCTCTCTTTCCGACCCTGCAACTCCTTCTCGTTCACGATTGGCCGAACCGAGAGCTCCAGGAGTGCCGAGCCTAGCTCCAGGAACGGCGGGCCGAGCGTGTTTCGGAGGGTGGGAGTGAGAACCACAAGCGCCGCGAGGGAGAGGAAGAGCAAGGGGCGGTCGAAGAGCAGCGGCAGGAGAACCAGCACGAGCGGCACCCCCCAGGGGATGGACGTCAGCAGCTGGAGGAAGAGCATGGGGAGGGAAGAGCAAAGGAAGGAATTAGTAAGTAGTTGATTGAGCGGGTGGGCAAGGGGGAAAGGAAGAGGAAGGGGCGGTCGAAGAGCAGCGGCTGGAGAACCAGCACGAGAGGCGCGAAGCTGTTATGGACTTGCCTCTTTCAATGGTTCAAGAAGGTCGTTGCTCTCCACTCCCCCTTCTCCTGCTCCTCCTCCCGCTCCTCTCCCCCCTCCCGTTTCTCCCTCCGGTGCTCTTCCAAACGGTCCGTCGCTGCGCCCATCCAACCTGCTATTCCACTCCTCTGCACCGTTCGCCACGCCTCTATCTGCCATCTGCATTCCTCCGCGACCCATTGGATCGCCTGCCTCGCCACTGCCACGGCCGTACGCGTTATACTCACGCCCACTATAGTCATAATCATAATCGTAACCTTGCTCGTCATAGCCGCGTCGTACAGAATCCACCGGGGGGAATAGCCGCTGTTGCCATTCCGCGTCGGCACTTTCCCCAGCATCACCGCCACCCGAGTTCCGCCCCATCCCGCGCTCTGCAACACCGCCGCGAGCGCTCATCAATGCGCCATCCCCCATCCCTGACAACCCTCTTTCCCTCTCGCTCCCACGACCTTGGGATTGCCGCGACGGAGCCGCACCACCGCGAGACTCGTCATCGCCGTTCCGATCGGACGGCCGTCGCCTCCAGCCCTCCGCGTTTGAGTCCCAAAACGCCCTTCTTCCGCCGCCATTGCTGGCGCTGCGGCCGCTGCCGCCGCCGCCGCTTCCGGCGCTAGCCCTGGCAGTTTTGAAGGAACAGACTATGGGGAGGAGCGAAGGATGGCGAAGGTAGGGAATGGACGGAGACACATAGTAACCCATTTGAGACACACAGTACACATAACAAGAGGAACTGGATGTAACAAACAAAAATTGAATGAAATTTTTACTTTAACATTCTCAACAAGTCGGTGTAGTTTAGTGGTTAGAATCCCACGTTGTGGCCGTGGAGACCTGGGCTCGAATCCCAGCACCGACACTCTTGCTTTTTCTGAGTTCCCAAGTTCTGCTTTAAAACCGGAGTCCCAAACAGCCCCAAAGTGCCTCAACCTTCCTAACTTTGAGAGGGGGTGACCCAGTAGGTACGACTCACTTCGCAAATCGGGGGGACAATTTTCGTCACGCGAAACTACTGTTCTAGCGAGGACGAAAGCAGTGACGATTTCGCCAACAAATTTGAAGCCCGTCCGAAACTGCCTGCGAACCAGTTCTGACGTTGCATTCCAGATCTGGTTATTTTTCGCGAAATTTTCTTCCTTCGCGACCCCAGACCACCAATTTCGACGCCACCCTGGCTCGCGAGCCAGTCACCTTTCTCTCCCCTGTCAACCTTCCTTAGAAACTCTTGGACCTCCGGTTTTAAGTGACAAGGTGGACTCGGTGGGCAGGCCAATCTTTGTGAGAGAGGTTTACTGAAAGGGCTGAATCTGAATGTGTTATAATTGCTTTAGCATGTGTGACAATAAACTCCACCGTACGATAGAAGCAACAGCAGCAGGAAGGAAGCGTGATGCCTAGAGCAGCATGGAGCAGATGTCGCAGAGGAAACTGGCGGGAGGCTCAGAGAAACCCGCACAGCGTGTGTGTTGCCACACCTCACACCTGGTGGTGTGATGGGAGCAAGGCGAGGAGAGAGAGTGGGAGAGAATTTAGGGAATAGGCGGTAAGAAATGGAGAGGGGAGGGGAGAGGGAGAGGGAAGAGAGAACGGAGACGAGAGGAAGGGTTCTGCAAAAAACACAATCATGTGGAAGAAAAATGTGGACGCCAGATGGAGGAGGGGAGGGACGAAGACAGAACCAGTGACGGGTTTCTGCCCACGTGGCAACTCACTGCGAGTGAGCTCCATGCGCCTACAGAGAAGCCCAATAGTCGCACTGACCATCCACAATCTTTTCCACAGACAGGCCCCACTAACTTATCACATGCCACCACCAGTCCCACTGAGGACGCGTCACAAGTGAAACACCGATCCTGCACAAGATCGGTTTTTCGCGGCTACAGTGCATTAACAACGTCGTTAAGTGCTGGTTACCTGTTTTCGTCATCCGTCGCCAATGTACAGTTATCCCCTCGGAGTCGGGCGATCGATGTGCCCTTGTCGCACATCGATCGTGCAATTTCGTCCACATCGGGCAATTTTGCCCCATGATTCTCCGATCGTGTCACTTGGGGCTTGCGGTGGGCACGCGATTGCATGAAAATCAGTCGTGGCACACCGATGTGGCGATCGATTTGACAGGATCGTGAACATCCCCGATCCTTCCTCGGTTTTTCACTTGTGACGCGTCCTGACCTAATCACGCACTGCCACCTGTCCCATTCACTCATCACCCGCCACCACCTGTCCCACTCGCCTATCAAAGACAGGCACCTGTCCTGCTCACCTATTACACGCCACCATCCATCCCAATCCCATATCACACGCTGCCACGTGTCCCACTCACCTATCACACGCTGCCACCTCTCCCACTGACCTGTCACACGCTACCCTCTGTCCCACTGACCTATCACACGCCACCCTCTGTCCCACTGACCTATCACACGCCACCCTCTGTCCCACTGACCTATCACACGCCACCCTCTGTCCCACTGACCTATCACACGCCACCCTCTGTCCCACTGACCTATCACACGCCACCCTCTGTCCCACTGACCTATCACACGCCACCCTCTGCCCAACTGACCTATCACACGCCACCATCTGTTCGCCGTCGTCATCCCTCGTGCCACAGCTGCACTCCACCACCCACCCCTCCGACCCTCCCTCCCAGCACAGGTCCGAGCCTGCATCCATGCCTGAGCCTCGGACCAGCAGAACACAGCAAGGGCTGAGGTTCGGCCGGACCAAGGCCGAGGGCTGTACATGAGCCAGGAGGGGAAGCTGAGATACACTGAATCTGGACATAGCACAGTAGGTATCCCTGTGGGGAGAGGAGTTGAAAGTCCGAAGGGAGGGGGAGGAAAGGGGGAGAACGAGAGGGTTGAGGAGGAAAGAGTGTGGAGGGAAGGGTATGTTCAGAAGGCTAACTGGTTTAAATTTATTTCCATTGGTAACGCTCTAAACCTTGCCTCATAATCCCTGCCATACACAAGGTCCCTCATACCCCTTGTTGCCTTACTCGATACTCCTTATTGCCTTACCTCATGGTCCTTTCTATCGCTTCGCTGAGTTGTGCCACAGTAGCATCAGTGGGCACCACCACATACTCCACCGGTATCGGCCCCAGCCGCCTCTGCCTTGACACAGGCTCCGCCCCTCTTGCTGCCACTGCTGCTCGTGCTCCTGCTGCAATTCCTGCTGTTGCCTCTTTTGCTCCTGCTGCGATTCCCGCTACTGTTGCTTTTGTTGTTGCTGTTGCTGCTGCTGCTTCTGCGAGTACTGATGTTGTCACTGCTGCTGCTTGCACAGCACTGGCCTTCTCGCCTGTTCCAGGCTCTGCCAGTACTCCAGTGATCGATTCTCCACCTGCACCTCCTTCAACTTTCAGTGCAGCAGCCTCTCTCTCCTTCCCAGCTCTTTCCTTCCTCTCCCCACTCCCCTCCCTCTCCTCCTCCTCTTCGCTCTCCTCCACCACCACTCGAAACGCCACACACATCAACCCATCCGATTCTCTCACTCCCACTCCGCGCCCCTCCTCCCCCCAGTACCCCTTCACCAAATGCTTTGTGTCCAGCACCACCCGCACCAGCGCCAGCAGCCCCTCTGCACCAGCTGCACCCGCACAGCCACCACCCCCACCAATAACGTTGCTGCCAGCATACAAAGGGTGGCACGGGCTAGCACGAGGAGGATAGATGCCTTTCTGCAGATGCCGGTTGGTAGGTAAGGCCATGCCAGCACAGGTATGAAGCAAGGGCCTGGCAGCAAAGGTGGGGTGGACGTGTCTGGCAGCGCCTTCAAGGAGGTTGCGGTAGAGGTAGCGCAGATGCGGCTCTACTGGGCTGCTCGTTGCTGCCAGCGTCACCACTGCCGCACCCTGCTGCTGCTTCTGCTGCTGGCTTGCTTCTTCCCCAGTCATAGGAGCAGCAACTGCCGCTCTTCCATGACTGAGAGTTGACGGAGACTTGAAGGCCTGCATTTTGCTAAAATCTGCCGCTTTACTAAGTGCCAGCGCTCTAGAACCCGTGCTCTTGCTGTGATTGAAATCCCCGCGTTGCTTGCCTTCTTCTCGCTCCCCTCCTTCCCCTCCCTCCCCTCCTCCTACTACACCACCCGTTTCCCTGTGTGGTCCAGCCCCTGTCTCGCCCTGAGCCCCGAACCCCACAAGCTGAGGGCCCCAGGGGGTCGGGAGAGGGGCAGAGAGCTTGGGAAATATCTCAATTGATGTCAACATTGGTGCAACATGCTGCTGAGACGCCTCAAAGGGAGGTGAGACAGAAGCAGCATGAATTTGAGGCGTTCCAGAAAACAGTGGGGGGGTTTGGGCTTGGGCTCCCCCACAGAAGAGGCTGGGCTGGAGGGCAGTGGGCTTGGGGAGAACGGGAGGAGGTGCAGGAGGGCCAGTGGGACAACTTGACGTAGCTGCTGCCAGTGTACTCCCCCCTGCGACCAAGCGAGTGGGACGTATGGGGCAATGATCCGCCTGCTGGGTTTCTGCATCTTCACCATCACCTTCTCGCCCCCTGCACTGCAACAACCTAGCGGTATTCTCCTCCACATGAATATCCAGCTCCCTTACATCCCCTTTTACAGTATCCTCTTCAGCAGAATCAGAACCTGTCCTTTCTACACGCAGCCCTTTTCTCTTCACTCCACTGCCCTCCAGCCCAGCGTCTCCTGGCCTCTGCCCTGACTCACAAACCCTTCTCGCCACTCTAGCCACCCGGCCACCCTCCCCACTCTTAACTCTCTTGCACTCCTGCTCCTCGCATCCTTCGCTTTCTCTCCTCACCTCCCTTTTCTCAACCCCATCCCTGTGTCTCCCCAGCCTCTCATCCCTCCCTACCTTCCGCTCCCTTCCCTCCCTCCCCTCCTTGGTTCCTTCTTCTCCCACTCCCCCCTTCCTTTCCCAGTCTCCTTGCACCTCATCATGCACTGCCTCATTCTTCACCCTCTCTCTCTCCTGCCCTGCATCCGTCCTTCCCATCGCTGCCCCATCTCTCTCTGAAACCTCCCCAACCTCATCCACAGCCAGACTCCGAACTCCATTCCGTGGCCCACTGCCACTCCACTTCCCACTCCCACTCCGCTTCTCACTAAAATCTTCTGACCCAATACAACTCTTCTTGACTTCTGGGAACCGGCCGCCTTCCGTTCTTGCACCCAATGTCGACATTTGCTTCTGCACCCGAGCATGCGTGTGAGCCTTGCCATTTGCAGCAGCAGCACCAGCCGCAGCAGCACCGGCAGCAGCCACCGCAGCAGCAGCAGTGGCAGCGGCAGCCATAGGTGTACTAACAACTCCACCACCCTGACCAGCGTATTCCACCCCTTGATCGCAGCATCCAACCCGCAGTTTTCTCTCCTCTCTCTCCTGCCCTTTACCGCACTCCTCTTCCCCCCCTCCCTCTCCTGCCTGTCGCAGCGTTGCCTGCTTCGTCTTAGTCTTCTTCAGATAAGTCTGCTGCTGCTGCTGCTGCTGCTCCTCCTCCTCATGCTCTCGCCGCTTCTTCGAAGCAACAGGCAGGATCGGACTTTCTTCTGCTAATGAGCCCCTTCCAGTCTCACAGCCTTCCCTGTTCCTCAAGGGAAGCAGAGTGAGTGCGTTCCTCCTTTCACTCACTCCACCTCCCCCATTCTCCCTGGTCATAGTTAAACAGTCCTCCCTCCTCACATTCAGTGCAGCTTCTTTTCTCTTTGCACCACAACTCGCCCTCCCTTCGCCCCCCTGGCTTCCCTTCTGGCCCACTCGACTGTTCACCACCACACTCTTCACATATGCCGCCTCCGCAACCCGTTTGGCCTGCTTCTGTACAAAATCTTTCTTCTTTAGATCCCCCTTCTCACTATCCTTCTTCTCGAGCTCTATAATACCATTAATACCATTACCCATCCTTTTGCCAGGTAGGGCTCCTCCTCCTCTATTTACATGCTGCTTGTCATCCACATCAGCAGCAATTCGCTTCCCGTTCCTTCTGCCTGCACCAGAGTTTTCAGTTGTCTGAAAACTCTTCCCATTCAGTCTCTTCACGAAAGCCCTGTCATCAGTCGACAGCTTTGACTCGTCTGCCAAGCTACCTTCCCTGTTTTGGAACAACTCTCTCTTATCCACATTCGCAACCCCTTTCCCTCCATCTGCATTCCTCTTGACTCTATCTGCACCGCTCTTCGCTCCATCTACACCGCTCTTCCCTCCATATGCACCACTCTTCCCTCCATCTTCACCGCTCTTCCCTCCATCTGTATCCCCCCGCAGAGCCCATCGCCTCCCCTTCCGTCCACTGGCTTCATCCATTCCCCCCTTATCCACCATCACCTCCTCCTCCCAGCCCCATTCCTCCTCTTCCTCCTTTTCCCTTCTTCCCCCTTCCCACCCCTCCTCCTCCTCCATCTTCTCCCTACCCTCCTCCTTCACCTCAATCTCCTCTTCATTTCCCACCGCCAATCCCCACTCCTCCCCCTCCTCATCCTTCTCGTCCGAAACTCCCGCCCTCAACTCACATGTCTTCAACACTGCACCATCCGTGCCTCTTTTCTCCCACTGCTCCCCTAAGCGCTCCTCTGCTTCCGCTGATTTCCTCGCTTCCCCTGATTCCCCCGGCTCTGTCACATGAACCGTGCGCTCGTCTTTACCCTCCTCTTTCACCTCCTCGACTTCCTCCTCTTCTACTTCCACCCCCTCCCCCTCCTCCTCATCCTCCCCACCATCCCTCTTCTCCTCCTTCTCCTTCCCCACCCCCTTCTCCTCCCCTTCCACTCCCACCTCCGCCCCTCTCACCTCCTCCAACAATCCGCACCCATACTCCCCGCCACACCGCATCACCTCGCCCCTCAGCTCCTCCTCCCACGCGTCCAGCCCCCACCACCCCGCACCATCACCGCCTGCATGCTCTGCATACCACCCGAGCTCCTCACACTCCCCATGCCCATCATACTCCCCATCCCCACCAAAGTCCCCATGCCCATACAAGCCTCTGTACTCATCCGCTCCACACTCCTTCCCTAACCCATTCTCACACTCCTTTCCCCCCCAGTCTCTCCCCTCACAACAAGTATCAATATCACATCCTCCCTTACAGTCCTCGTTACACTCTTGATCCTTCTCTTTACAGGGTTTCCCATTACGGCCCCGCTCCTTACAATCACGCGCATCCATACCCTTCCCACCCACACCCTTCTCCTCCCTCCCTGCAGACACGCCCGTCAGTCTCCATCCTCTTTGCCCTAAAGCAGCCGTTGCTCCATCCTCGCCCACCGGCTTGTCTATATCTACTGAGGCCTCAGGACTATCAGCATCCCCTAACTCATCTGGCTGGCACGCATCCCCTGAGGCATCTGCTAGCAAAGCCTTGCGCTCACCGTTCCTCCCTCGCCCTCTTCCCCCGCGCACCCCTCTTCCTCTGGCTCCCCTCCCTGCCCCTCCTCCTTCTCTTCCCGGCCCCACTGTCCCTGCAGCTGTTGCCGCTGCAGCTGCTGCTGCTGCTACTGCTTTTTTTGCTACTCCTACTGCTCCTCCTGCTTCTCCTGTTGCTGTCTTTCGCAACAACCTTTTTCCACCCTCGGCTGCACCACTAGCAGATTCGCCTCGTCCCCTGCCCCTGTTCCGCCCTCCCCCTCCTCTTCCTACCCCTCTCCCTCTCCCTCTCCCCACCCCTATCCCCTTGCCACCAAAACTGCCTCTGCCCCTTCCCACCTTCCCTCCCCTTCCCCCTCTCCTCCCTGCCGCCCCTCTCCACTCTGCTTTCTCCCAGTCCACGTCATCACTCGCCTCATCCACGTCATCACTCTCCTCTGATGAGCTGGACGGCTCCTCATCGCTCTTAAAAACGTTGACCTGTGACCTGCCTCTCGGTCTCCCTCCACCCTTCACATCTCCTCCCACTGCGCCTCCCGCTGCTGCCCCACCTGCCCCTCCCCGTGCTCCCACTCCCCTCGTCTCCTCTTTCCCCTCAACTCCCCTTCCTTCTCCTCGAGTCCCTAACCCTCTTTCTTCCCCCTGTGCTCTCTCATACAAACCTCCCTCTTCTCCTCCCTCTGCTCTAAGCAGTTCAGAAGGAATCATGCTAGAAGAAGACGCCCTAACGAGGCCTTTTCCTTGTCTGCTTCTGGGGGAGGTGACATCACTACCTGCCATAACCTTGCCACTGTTGCCACCTGGTATTCCAGGTATATTATCAGGTGCTTCTACAGCATTATTGGGCCTCCCTCTGCTGTCAGGTTGCTCTGATGCCGCGAGCCCCATGCCCAGGCTATCTCTTAGCACCACGTTCGGGGCGACTTTAGCCAGAGAAACGTCACTTTCAGTGCCTGCAAATGCCCCCCTGCTCTTTTCCGGCACCTTTCTATCAGGCTTCACCCAGACCTTGAAGCTAGGCTCGGCAGTGAGCGTGGGTCCGAGCCTGGTCCGGGGGGAAAGAGGGGACGGATCTTGCACTTGACCTTGTCCCTTGGAGCGCATTCGGGGAGTGAGAACGGGTGGGCTTCTGAGGCCTGGAGAATGGGATGGTGAGCGGCCAAGATGCTGAGGCGAAGAGAGGGGTACCTGTGCTGTGACTGGGCTGGATACACGGTGAAACGTCAGTGGAGAGAGAGTAAGTTGAGGGGAAGTTAGTGGGGAGGAATTCAGTGGAGGGTGAGGCAGACGTTGGGAGGATGTCAATGGGGGAGGGGTCACTCTTGGGGTTAAGTCAGGAGTTGCAAGGAGGGAGGCAGAATGTACACTGATAGGAGCAGCATCGGCAGCAGGCTGGACTTTCTTGCTGCCAATGCAACTAGCTGTAGCAGCGGGAGCTGCAGCAGCAGCTGTGGTAGCAGTTGCAGTGGCAGCAGCAGTGGCAGCAGCAAAGTCAGCAGCGGCGGCAGCAGGACGTGATGACAATAGTTCGAGCATCAGTCTCAGAAGTTGGCCCAGCGTTTTCAAACGTTCGGTTTGGCTCGGGCCAGAAAGAACAGAATTCGGAGGAGCTGTAGCATTGGCGACTGTAGCATGGGGGAATGTAGCAGGGAGGGCTGTAGCGGGGGGTGATGTTGCATGGGATGGCTGAAAGCAGTGAATTCTTGATGGGTTCCCTCCTCCAATCAAGCCAGAATTTACTGCTCGGAAGGATGATGCCATATGTGTGTCTACATGACGTCCGGCTGCTGATGCAGCAGCTACTGTTGCTGGTAATGCTGCCTTCGGTGTTGCTGCTGATGCTGCTGCTGCTGCTTGCGAGATCTGTGTTGACTTAGCATGCGGTAATGCTGCATGCGTTGGTGGAACGGCACATGTTACCGGCGGTGTGTCGTGCGTCCGCGATGCTGGAGCGAGGAGCGAGCAGGTGTTCTCGCTGACCCACGACCGGTAATGCTCGATGATGGCAACCAAGTCCTGAAAAGAAAACAGACAATGGGGAAACGCACCAGACAGACTGAAATCCACGGCCCCCACTTCCCCCAGGACAAAGAAACCTCTAGGTCACCAGAAACCACTCTAGGGCAGATTCCACTACACAGAATGGTATTACAGGCTTCGTTATACTCACAGGGTCCAGCCCCCTGTAGTGTTCTTCAATCGCAGCAAGCGGGGTCGTGGCCGCGGCTGCGAGTGCGTGCTTGTACACGTCTTCAGTCACGCCGTAACATCCCTTGCCGAAGCGGTAACCCCACCGGCCGTACCACGAGTGGCCGTAGGCCAGCCCATGCAACAGACGCAGGTCCAGACCCAGCTTCTTGGACATGTCCATGCATGTCACCTCCCTGTAGGGCGGAGAACGAAACATTGGGACGATGAACAAATTGTGATGTAAACAGCCTCAGAGTCTCAGCCTCAAGACACGCAGGTCCAGACCCAGCTTCTTGGACATGTCCATGCATGTCACCTCCCTGTAGGGCGGTGACAAATGATTGGAATGGTAATGGTTGAGATGCCATCATGAAAAGTCCATGCATGTCACCTCCCTGTAGGACGTTGAAGAACTACTGGAGTGGGTTGATATGTCAGTCGCCTCAGCCTCAAGCCACGCAGCTTTTTTAAAATGTCCATCACCGACAGACCATGCATGTCACCTCCTTGTGGGGCAGGGAGCACATGAGAAAACACCATTCCTGCTCAGTGCTCACCTGGCGTTGAGCATGGTGCAAATGCGGTCCCACAGGCCCATCAGCTGCCGCCCAGTGACAAGGCGCGAGCCGCGTTCTCGGCCGTTGATTCGTAGGAGGTGGCCAAATCCGTTGGTGTGAATCACTCCATGCAGCAGATGCGTCTGAGACTCCAATAAGGTCCCTCGCACTGCATCATGCCCACATGCAGTGCACCTGGACAAGCCACGGGGCAATGGAACATACGATGCAATAGCAGAGAGACAATGGAACAAAAAATGGAGTTACTACTTCTTCTCGTTCGCCTTAGAATATACACTGACCGTTCGGCATTGGAGGTCAACAGAAACTCACCGCTTGGCGTTAGAGGCAATGACGGCGCTGCAGTTAGGGCAGAGCTTGCGGCCCTTGCCGATGCCCTGGCTGTTGTTCTCGTCCACGTCAGCCACGAGCGGAATGATGAAATGGTAGCGGTGTACCGACACCGGGTGGTGACTCCACCCTGCACACCCGCACGTGGTAACGTGGCGTACACGCACACAGGAACAAGTTTTGAATCAACTCAAAACTCGTGCACAGATACCGGGTGGTGACTCCACCCTGCACACCCGCACACGGAAACACACACAAACAAGCACGCTGCAAGCTCGCACACACACTATTTCTCGCTATCGCGACTCTGCACGACAGTAGAGCACACCCGTTGCGCCTTCGCCATGGAACACATGCTGGCACATAGTCCTTTCGCGTTGCTTACCACACGCTTATCACGGTGCCTCCGGGCCTAGGGTAGAAAGTCGCACATACTTTGCTCCAATGGAATGACGTCCCTAACTTCTAACTACTAGGCGTAACGGTTCAGGCGACTTATGATCGACTAAAAAAAGGTGTCTAACTTCTAAATACTAGGCGCACCTGCCACGCGGCAGTTGTCGCAGTGTGCGCGGCCCGAGGCTTGCACGTTCTCTTCGAGTACACGTAAGCCGATGCGGTGGCCCTTGTCGTCTTGCAGGCGAATCGTCCACGAAGCGACACCCTCGATGTTACACGAATCAGGCTCCGCGAAATCGCGAATCAGCTTCTGGACAAGTTGGCGAAAAGGAAATGGACCGCGAGGAAAGTCCGCGGGACACTCATTGGTGCCAAAAAGCGCGAGAGAGAAGGCCCCGTGGACCTTCCGTCGCTTGCTCGCTCTGTGCAGTACCATTGTAAGCGTAAATAATACGTTTCGGAATACAAGATGCAGAGACTATAGCGACACACACGCCATCGTCGCGCTCTAACCTGAAAGATTCTAAGCTTCACGCCACAGACTACCACTGATGAACGCAAAACGAGCAGGGAGCACGCGATTAGGGTTTCAGGGCAGGAAATGCTGAAATGCGAATCGGATGCTGTGACTTCGGCCTGTGGTTGGTTCATCCACTCGACTCGAGTCGACAATTTCAAGGGTGGCTGGGCTGCGTCCACAGCCACAGGTTGCTCAATAGGGGTAGATTGCCTCGGTGCTGGTGTAGCGCGTGAAGGAAATGGAGAGCACGCACCAATCAGCTGTTTTACCGCCTTTGAGATTCACAGAAGCACCTCATTTGAAGGTTTGAGTAGCAACTCTCTGGAAACCAGATAAAACTGGCTGTGTTTGAAAGGCAAGCTACACGTCAATACTTGTTCTATATGGATTTCAAATTTATGGGGCATTTGAGATAAAAACCATCAGAGTGATAAGTATATGTACAGAGACTATATAAATAACATTTATATGAAATATCATTATTCAGAAAATAATGTATTGATAGAGATCGTAAAATCAAAGCTGGGTTTGATTTATGCTGTTAATTACCTCAAATGTAGACTGGGAATAAGAATTTCACCTATTGAGAAAGCTTGCTTTCTTATTCTTATCAATCGGCATCGTTCTCATTACAAATGGCTTATTACAACATTTGCATCAACGTTGAGCACAAGCTGGTGCAATCGAATAACACTAGCTAAGATGTACCCTATCCAAGTGGCATTAGCAAGGCGGTTTACTCTGGGGTGGGTGGTGGGAGTGTTGAGTGAGCCGTTTGAAAATCGAGAAACGTGGGTGGAGAGAAATGAACTCCAACCCACGGTTTTTGTAGTTGGAGAAGGGCGTTTAGCGCGCTTCGACGATGCCAACTGTGCAGTACAAGCAGCTTCGCTTTCACAATACACAATTTTAAAAAACACAATGTGTGTTTAAAAATTATAATATTTCTAAGTGGCTTTGAAGAACAGTTGCATTGCACTTCGAAGTGTGTCTTGTGCTCCCAAATCGTTTGTATCCTATCACTATCCAGCCGCCATCATCTAGGGAAGCCAGCCACTCCAAATCGTTCGTCCTCCGTTCACTTCCCCTCGATCTTTTCACCAACATCCTATCCTCTCCCGCCTGTTAGGGTTTCGCTGCTTTTTCCTCCATCAACTAGTAGTTTTACACGCAGCCTCGTTGATTAGGAGGCTATACCGGAGGGCCGCGTTTTCTCGCCACGATTCAGACGACGACTGTTGTCTTCTTATGAATGCTTCTTATTCGTGGCACTGAGCAACAGAACAACTTAGTTTTCAGTTTCTGCTAGGGACTACAACACTGTGCCGTCTGATGCACCAGCGGTTGCATTCGCGGGGTTGCTAGCTGCGGCCCGAGTGGCTGCTTCTCGCTCCCCGTTTTAACCGGTCGCGTTATATTCTAAAATCTTCCCGGGTCGAGCTTTTGCTTCTACATTTCTTTTCTGATCTTAGCTCTTTAGATTCTTAACTTTCAAAATGTTTCGGGGAGATCGGGGTATGGCGCAGCCCGACTCGAGCAGAGGCGGGGGATCGAAGGACGCGAGGGGATACCGGGAAAGAGACGTGGCGGGTGGGGCGGTGGGGGGCGGAGCGGGAATGGATGCACACACGGGGAAGAAGCGGGGGGATGAGATGGCGATGGCGCAAGGTCAGGGCAGCAAAGGGGGGATA